ATCGATAGGACTCGACGGATTAGACAAAAACGATCAATAGAGACAAAGCAGAGCCGTATAACGCCTCTAACAACATCTCGACCAACAACTCTCAAATCAGAGACCACAATCTACTAATTTAGATCTAGATCTATAATTAAATATGCTGAAAGTTTAAACAAAAGAACATGCAAACTAAAAACAAAAATAAAAAACAGAAATCTGACCGACGGAAGCTATGAGAGCCAAATCGCCGGCCCGGAACCCGCTTCCTATTGATGAGAAACCTAGAGAGAATCCAGTCAACTTTTTGATATATTTATATATATATATATATATATATATATAACAAACTGTTCTACAAGAAAATGTGTTTGTATTACCTTGTGATTGTATTTCAGTTTGTAATTTTTGTAAACGACATTCTATATATAAAAATATCCTATAAGTGTCCTTAAAGATATATTTTCTCCTTTGAATATACAAGAAAATAGTATATTAGGCTTAGATGATGTTCTCGATCGATTTTGGGCATATAAGCTACTCTTTCTCTGTTTAACTCTATAATCATTACGCAATAGATAAAATAATAAGAGCATGTTTTTCTCGAGCTCCATCTAAACCAGGACTCTTGTCTTGTTTCAAAAGTTACCTGGATATTTAATACCAGCAATATACTATATATAAAGGAAAGAAAAACAATGAACGCAGCATAAGAAATGGAATCGTTGAGTTGGATACAGGTAGGAAGCCGAATAAATAATTGAGTTTGAAATGTATGAGCATGATGTAGAAATTTCATACATCTTAATTACTTACTCCTCCAGCAAAAAGATGAAACTATTTCTCCTCAGTACTTTTTTTTTTTACTTGAAACCGAATACCATTAGGCGGCCGCTGAGGGATGATTAGCAAGTTGTTTGACCCTTGCGCTGGCATAGGAAATCAGTCCTTCAGCTACGAATTAGCATTAATATTTTAATTTGCAGTGTACTTGAGGTTTATGAAATTTAAATTATTATTTGCTTAGTCATATTAATTATTATCATTAAAATTGTTATCATATATGTAAGAAAAATAATTATCTTTGCTTTCGTACTAGCTCTAACAGTTCCATCTATTTGCAATGGAACTTTGCATTTTAAACTAAAACGGTAAATTGGTTATTTTTGGTTAATGAGTAAGTTTGATTTTACCATATACCATTGTCGTAGCAAAGTAAATACGAAGTCATAAAAAAGCTAATTCAACATATTGAGTGTGAAAGCTATGAAGTTCAGAATATCCATGTTCAATAAAGCAATTTAATTATTTAAAACAGCTGGCGTTTTGAAGTACGTCTGTGCGAATCAGATATTTCCTAAATTCGCATTTTGTTTCTTACATTAATCGATATATCGTCTGTTTAAAACTTGACGAAATTAAAAGATGGGACTGATGAAATTTTTATTTAAACAACAATAGAATATATTAACAAATTGACAAGCTAGTGAAACTAAAGGACCAAGTTGCGAAAATATGGGTTCCACCTTTGGACCAATAACAGCTTGTCCGTACAAACAATGTCTATTTATACCTAAGTTTGGCTGTTTCATTTTTGTTGTTTATTTTAGCATCATAAATCATATGCTACTACTGTACTTCCTTTAAGTACTGTTATCTATTTTTCAAGTATAAGTCCTTTCACTATTTCCAGAAAACTTCAAGGAACCCTCCTAAGTCCTAATGTTCAAATATATGAAGTCATATAAATTCCAACGAAAAAATTACAAACATGTAGTGGAGACCAACTTTATTATAAAATGATAAATAAGAATGCAGTACATAGCTATGAAATCGTGCTGGTGAAAGTGCATTTATTCGATATTTAGCAAATGTTTTACAGTTTTCATAACTAAAATGAAGGGTCTATCACTTTCTAAACCAAACCAGATCTCAAATACTTAGAATTATAACAAGAAACATGGATGAGTCCGATCTCTATTACAGAGGAAAATTCTATAAGAAAAGAAAGCCAAGTGAGGATGAAGTGCCAACAACCCAAAACCGGGCCTCGTGGTCTGGTGGTAAAGGAATCTCGGCTGAGGTGTCCGCCATCACGAGTTCGAACCCCGGCCACAGCGGATTTAACATGATTTCCGTTTGGCCTTCATGACTCCTTTGGGGGATAGTCGGGTTTCTAAATAATCCTCGGACACCTGAGTTATCAAAAAAAAAAAAAAAGTGCCAACAGACACGTGACAGCATAATCATATAGTCCTACAGAGAATTCAACCATCTACAGAAAATTCAACCATCGCATATATTTCATTTTATTTTGTGACCGCATACTCATTTAGGACCATTTGAATTTAAACGCCACGAAATATTAGGTCGAATTTGGAAATTAGTTTGTTGTGATGTTTATTTTTTGGATGGGTCTGTGAAGCCAAAAGTATAATCTGTCATCTGTTTTTAACCAAAAACAGTGATCTAATAACACATTTAGATGTCTGTCTAGAAAGCTGATTAATTAATTAGATTTTGAATTATAATTTTGTGTTTGTTATACAGTGCAATTTTCCTTTATTAAACAGAAATATCATAGAAAGTATATAAATTTTTTGAAAAGACAAAAATCTAAATCTAACAACGTCTAGATGATTTACAAATTTAAAAGTTTGCAAATATGTGTGACATCAGTAAGTCCTACTACGTTGTACCATCAAGTATAATACAAATTTATTTAATTGTTTGATAACTCTAAGGTTTTGAATTGTAACAACAGCTTAAACAATATGGACGAAGTAGATCACGCAGATTAAATGAATAAATACAGATCAAATGTATTATACGAAAAAGATGTAGATAAAATAATTATTATAATTTTGAACGGTAAAAACAATTCAAATGAAGCAAACTATATATTTAAATAACAGAAATTACAATGAAATATATCAAACATATCATATATAATATAATACATAAATAATATGTTACTGCAGATTTAAAGAAATCAAACTATAAAAGACATAAGAATTTAAAGAAATACATGCTACTGCAGTTTTAATGAGATACATATTACTATTCTAAAACCATGTTATCAAAATTAGAATTTAATGCAATACACATCTCTTCCATGAATATACATATTTAAGTTATATTATTATATATTTGCATAACACATATTATATAAATATAAAAATTTATTCTAAATCTAAAAATAAGTGTCCTGTAAAAACCCTAGGTTCAAAAGAGAAAATGGAAACAAACATTAAGGGAGGAAAAAGAAAAGAAAAGTAGTTGTGATGCTCTCAAGAGTCACCCATATTTATTCATCCACACAAAACACGTACGACCATGCCTCATAGTGATTTGTCATTGGCCCACCTCCCATCCTAGTGGATCAAATTGAATACAATAACGAAAAAATCAAATATAAACATGTAAATCAAAGATACAAAAATGTCAACAATATTTCTATTGGAAGAAGGGAGAACCAATCAAATTGAGATCTCACAATATTTCGTAGAGTTCTGATTGGTTCTTTGCATAAAAACGAAACCTAACTAATGTTAGAATAATGCTTTGCTAAAGCAACAAATACATCAGATAAGATTGTAAGCTATCCACATCATTAGTTTTTGTTTGCAAAGCATATTATATAATGCATACGTATTTATGGTATTATACCACAAAGTAGTTATATACGAACATAAGAGTAAAAAGACAATGAAAGCAGGGAATTTAATTGGGTTTGAATCTATCTGTAATGCATATTTTTGATGTTGTCGGTCGTGTATATTATTACCAGTATAGTATTCCCTTTTTGAATAAATGTCACTTTGACACTTTTCACACAGATTAAGAAAATGATTGAAATATATGTAAGATATTATTAGTTATATCTCTTTTGTCAATAATATTTGAGATAAATAAAATTATTTATAAAATCAATGTAGTTTTCAATTAATTTTCAGCTGAAAACATATATAATTTGCATTAGAATTATAAAATAACATTTTTTTGTAACAAGAAAAAAATTTAGAATGACGTTTATTATAAAACAGAGGGAGTAATTCTCAATAAAAAACTGTCTTTCCAATGATTTTTTTAGCTATCATCTTTCCAATGCTATAAATGAAATAACTAAAAAACAAAAAAAGAATAGAGAAGCTCAAATAGTTTTTTTTTCTCTGGTTTGAGATTTTTTGAGTGCATATACGGACGACCATCATGATAGCAATATACGTTTTTCTATAAAAAGAAACGTAGGATAAGACTGAAGAAAGAAAGGAGAAGAATTAAACATCTAAATATATAAATATAAAATAGATCATAAGTCATAGAATAAAGAAGCCCATATATACTTTTCCATTCCTGTATCATTAACTATGCAACTATTTGTAATAATAAAAGAAACCATATATCATTGAAGATTGAAGAATAAATATCGGATTTGGAGTATGATTTTTTTTTTAAAAAAAGAGACTACATTAGCAGCAACAAAATCTCAACACTATTTTGGTTGTTTTTTTTTCTTATATTATTATCGTTATTATTTATAAAGAAGCATCAAAACTCAGGGGGGATGAACTTTGGTAAAAGGATGTCAATTTCTCACGTGGACCCTTTATCCAATCTTGGTCCACACGTGGGACCCATTTCCCATGCACACAGCCCACAACCTATTCATTTCTATATTTGTTCATAACATTTATTTTCTCATACAACTAACTAAAAACAACGTATAATATTTTAACAATGCAATGAGCCATGCATTGACCTAATATAGTAACCCAAAGTAAATGCGAATCATCATAGTATATTTGTAGTATTTAGCTATTTCAATATGCTTCCATGAAGCTTCCTTTGGGGTCATTGTGTGTTAAGTTGACCCATACACACAACCCATATTACATCCCATACACCTGCCCATATAATATATTTACTCCCCTGAAACACGCATTCTACAGATATTATTTTTATGTGTTCCCCAAATAAAAAGTGACAATAAAATAATATCGTAAATGACACTTGCTGTTTCTTATTTCCCTCCCTTCACTCCCTCTCTCCTTCTTTCTATATATGTTCACACGCATACATACACACAATACAACATCAGACTCTCTCAAATTACATTTTCTTGTTTCTCTAATTTCAAACCAAAGTTTCAAGAAACAGAAACCAAAAAAAAATCAAGAAACCCAATGGAAGTGAGTAGCGTAGACGAGAGTACAACGAGTACAGGTTCAATATGTGAAACTCCGGCTATATCTCCGGCGATGACGTCAGCGAATCTACACAGGATGGGAAGCGGATCTAGCGTGGTGTTAGACTCTGAGAACGGAGTTGAAGCCGAATCGAGGAAGCTTCCTTCGTCCAAGTACAAAGGCGTAGTTCCTCAGCCTAACGGGCGATGGGGAGCTCAGATATACGAGAAGCACCAGCGCGTGTGGCTAGGCACCTTCAACGAGGAAGACGAGGCGGCGCGTTCATACGACGTGGCGGTTCACCGTTTCAGAGGACGAGACGCCGTCACGAACTTTAAAGACGCGAGGCTCGACGAAGGAGAGGTCGAGTTCTTGAATTCTCACTCGAAAGCTGAGATCGTTGACATGCTGAGGAAACATACTTACAACGAGGAGCTCGAGCAGAGCAAACGGCGTCGTAACGGTAACGGAAACATGGTTAGGTCGTTGACGTCGACGTTGGACGGTGACGGCGTTTCCACGACGGAGTTTAGATCAGCGGAGCCTCTTTTTGAGAAAGCGGTTACTCCAAGCGACGTTGGGAAGCTGAACCGTCTCGTTATACCGAAACACCACGCGGAGAAACATTTCCCGTTACCGCCTAGTAACGTTTCCGTTAAAGGAGTGTTGTTGAACTTCGAGGACGTGACGGGGAAAGTGTGGAGGTTCCGTTACTCGTATTGGAACAGTAGTCAAAGCTATGTGTTGACCAAAGGTTGGAGCCGGTTCGTTAAGGAGAAGAGTCTGCGTGCTGGTGATTTGGTTAGTTTCAGCAGATCCGACGGTCAGGATCAACAGTTGTATATTGGGTGGAAGTCGAGATCCGGACCGGATGTAGAAACGGGTCGGGTTTTGAGACTGTTCGGAGTCAACATTTCGCCGAACGACGTCGTGGGGAACAAGAGGGTGAACGATACTGAGATGTTATCGTTGGTGTGTAGTAAGAAACAACGCATCTTTCACGCCTCGTAACAACTCCTCTTTCATTTTGTTTTAATAGTTTTTTTTTTTTTTAATTTCCACTTTCGATCTCTTTTTCAGTTGCATCTGTTTCTAATTATTACTTAAGGTTCATGAGTTCTTTTTGTTGTAATGATGAACTGTATATTTTAAATATAGAATAAAAGGTTATTTAGATCTTTCAAGAGTTTTAAGTAACATGAGAATGTTTTTAATTACCTTATCTTGCTTTGTTTCTTTCTATTTCATGTGTGGCAGAAGTAAGAGCGAAGATGTATGCATCTATTTCATGTGTATGTAGAACTCATGTATACATTAGCTACTACTGCTTGTGGTATTTGGTTATACTGATCATATGAAGGATACTCTGACCGATAAGACAACCAATGTTCTAACAAAGAGTCAAGTTGTAACTAATAAAATGCTCTATTGATACAGGCCAAGATTTTAAGCGTAACATAAGTTTCCAACAAATGTTTGTTCTCTTCATAACTGCAACATAAAACCATTGCGCAATTCGACAGACATACAATTATGATATATCATCCTCGGATTCACATACCAAAAGAGAGAGAACGAGAGAGAGATAATTTATAAAGCAATACTTATAGTTAATTTGGAACCAAAAAATAATGGCTAAAACGATTAACATTTTTGAATGTTTAGGGGTCTATCTGAGTTAACAGATTTTTTTGTTTGTTAATGATATATATAGGTAAAACTTATAATAAATAGTGATAATCTAAATTTCAATTGCTGTATATAAACACATAAGTTAGAGAATGTATGTACGAGTTACGTAGCGATACATTGACCATGTACTGATCTTATGGATATTTCATCTATATGAGTTTTCTTCAGTTCAATTTAGTAGACGATAATGTTATTCAAATATAGCATAAATCTGAATCAACTAATTAATTAATACCCACATAAGTCCACATGTATCTTTTCAAAGACACATGCACATACATTTCAACTTGAATTTGAATAGTAATACATCAGGAGTATTAGTGAAAATTACAAGACTATAAGTCCTAATCAACAACATAATCCAATACTATTTCATCCTTATAGTTTGATTTCATACCGACAAATATATATATATATATATATACTCGGTTTTGTACGATTTACCGGTCTGATGATAGAATATTCATGTTTGCCATGAACGTTTCGGTAGTGATCAACCAATAACTTGTTATCTGGAGGCATACATAATTAATCAATAGTATATGAATGTTATATATAGATATAATCGGCTGTGGTTCCACCATGATTGTATCCATGAATGCTCCCGTCTTTCGTTAGTAAGTCGTCTTTGGTAGCTCATTTTCTATTCAATTTACAGGAAATGATGAGCATGGCATATAGCTGGAGGACAAACTTTCACGATTATAAGTTAACCATTTGTACTCGTACATGTCATGGTTTCGTTTGCTTTTATATACGTAAATAATAATAAATCAATGGAGGTTTTGGAAAACCGACTATCATAGTTGGAACCACAAAATGTGTAACACGGCTACACAAACAGCTGGTCCTAACGTAAAGCTGAAAAAACATATATTGTTGTCGCTGATTTGTTTTCCGGTGGAACTGAGCAGAGAAATATGTTGAGACGTCGAAGGTTCTGAAACCGGCGGCTCATCCCGGTGCCACAATTCAAAACTTTACTTTTGAACTGTCTCAGTGTCTTACTGTTTTATCTCTTCAGGATCTTGTTTACTTATATGGGCCTATTTCTTATTGGGCATTTGAGAGCTCTTTCTAGTTGACTTAATGTCCACTAGCTACAACTCTATATTGGGCCTACATATGTCTACTCAAACACTATGCTATATACCAATTATAGTGTTTTCTTTCTTAACTGAGATTAGAGTTCAATATCGTTTTAACATTTACAACGTCTAAATGCATCTAAAACACTCATAAAGTAATCAACTTCACTAGGTCACTGGTTTAAAAACTACTGAATGCGTTTCTTTTTTATATTTATTGAATCTTGGTAGATGGATCTGTTTCGTTGTGATAAATTAGTGTGCTTGAAATGTTGGGCTTTTTAGTTAGGAACCTTCATATTGAGCTTTGTAATGCGCGTACTATAGAGTATAAAGCTAGGTTGCATGGAATCAGAAACGAATACGTGAATTCAAAACAATTTGAAACATGGAAACGTGGAAATGTGGAAACGTGATTTTTATAAAAATTAGAAGTGGAAACGTTTTAGAAACGTCTATAAATATATATATATATTAATTAACATTTACGCTTAATTTGTTTTCTTTGATTTATTTAAGAGAGAAAATTAAATTATGTAAGTGTTATTTCTTTGATACATTTTATTAAAAAAGTAATAAATAATTAGAAAACTAACACATGTTATTATTTGATAAAATGATAGAATCAATTTCATTCCAAATCAAACCATTATACTAAAATGATAACTAATATCGAAATATAATATTCAAAATACAAGTTAATAAATTTGTAATCATTAATATTATTCTTTCGTGTTTTCAGTCAGAATCGCGAGTTTCCAAATCAGAAACGTAAGTTTCCATCATGTTTGCAAAATGAAATATTTAAAAAATGCGTTTTCAAAGAATTTCTTAAGTTTCCATGAATTTCCGATTCTAAAACGTTTCTGAAACTGGAAATGACCTTGACCGGAATTTCCATGCAACCTAGCCGTAAATCCGATTTTCGTATTGTGGCTAAGCTGGATATATAGCGCGTGAAACCAACCTCCCGATACTTTTTTGTAGACTTTTATCATATACCAGGAAAACCTTCTATATTTGGGAAGTTTGGCCTGACAGGAGCGCGACCATTTTCGAGCTCAAACTCATAAAGCAAATATTTTAAATCATAGTGGTATAATATATCCAATTTTCAGAGGAAATTAGTTTTGTATGATAAAAATGAAATATTTTTCCAACATTTAAAGTAATTTGATAGACCAGATATTAATCTTTTCCATTTTTTTTTGCCATTTATGTATGTAAGATTTAGAATATGAACTTTATTTTTAGAATATAAACTTCATCTGGCTTGTATAGAAGTATCCCCAAACTTTAGTCATAAACATAAACTTTTATGAAGCATATTGAAGTGCTAGGTCCAAACACTCCTTCAATATTTATATATAGTTTACCATTTCCAAAACAACATTTAATACTCCATACCTTACATGACCAATTTACTTAAAAGTTTGAAACCAGAAAAAAAGTTGCACAAACTTATTAACATTCGAATCAAGATATTTATTTATGACAAGTACCCTGACAATTTAACTAGCTTACGTAGTTTTCTTGTTAAAACAGTGTCTTGTTGAAAAATAATCACTTATAATTGTTTTTACAGAAAATCACAACCATATAATTGATGCTATAGAATACAAGAATGATTCAAAATCTTTATAAAAAATGAGAGAGGGAGGGGAGTGACAGAGAAACTGAAGTAACCTAAGAGTCGTGAAATTTCTCTCTCCAAGTGTAACATAGACAAATATGTGTAACGTTAGACATCACTACATAAAGTGACAACAGACAGTTTCTGTGTTTGGATAATTCGAACTGCCACTTTCGACCATTTAATTACCATTATATGTTACCTCCATTATTTATCACCAGAGGTGCACTCTTTTATATATATTTTAATTAAAGTTGTAGATCTCATTTAATAAATCATTGTTTTGTTTTTGTAGTTCAATAATGCTTGATCCTTTTCCAGTCACCGAACGTTAACTACTTCTGCGATCGGAATCCTAAATTAGGACAACATTAGACAAATTTGCATATTGGGGGTTGCTCATAAATTTTATCTTCTATGTCCATATGGTGCTTAGGATGTATATGTTATATATCCACGAAGAAAAAGCTTGTATATGTTTTTGTAGTTAACAGTGAGAGTTCCGGCATTAGGCTCATAATCTTCCTCAGATCCGGAGTCAACCTTTTCTGATTTAAATAAGGGAAGAAAATTAGAATGACTCAAATTTATGGTGATATTACTAGAATGACTCATATTTTTTTTCAAATTATTAGAATGTTTTCGTGGTCAGAATTACCCCTGCCGTACAACAGAGTTGTTAAAAATGTCTATCGTATGACACAACAGATTTGTCTATATTTTGTCTGATTTGTTAAAGAAAAACGTTTTCTTAAATATGTCTGTCGGATGACACAACAGATTTGTATCAAACCACAGATTTGTGCGATCGACTTATTTTCGAAAGGCATACTTGTTGAGTTATGACCGATTTGTATAGAAAATCTATTCTTCCTACGGTAGACTTAAGGCAAATCTATCACAGATTTACAAATGCTGTAGACTTGTTGCATTACGACGTGGCCGACTTGTTATTTTACGTAGTGACAGATTTGTTTAATTATTCTGGGTTTTAGTAAACCAGTAGAAATTAAATTCGGATTTAATCCCGGTTTACTTCAATTAATTCNTCTCAAGTTGTTCCTTTCATGGTGGTTTGAACACTTTCTTCCATTCTTTCTGTTTACAGAACAATGGATCACATCATTCTGGTCTGTGGAAAGATGCGACGTAAGAGACAAAGACGACGAGATGGACTTCTGACAGAGGCGATGGTGTCGGAGTGAGAGAGGAACGACGACGAGACTCGATCGAAGAATCCCCCCCCCCCTTCGAAATCGTCGTTGTCGTGCGAGAAAGAGAGAGAGACCCGAGAAACAATTTTATTTTTCTCTTTTATGTTGAATCTAATTTATTTTCTCTTTTATGTTTAATGTTTTTTTTTTCTCGTAAACTTTTTTTTGGATTGCACACATTAAAAGGGTATTTTAGTCCATTTGCTTGTTACAAAATAGGGTCTAGTATTTAAAATTTTATATGCGTCATTATAGTCATTTTAAGATCAATTTGCACTACAAGAAAACTAAGCCATTACTAGGAAAATTTACTAGGAAAACATTTCCTCGTAAAAATACTACTAGTTTACTTCGACTTTACGAGGAAACATCTTTTCCTCGTAAGGTTCTCGTAAACTTACGAGAAAAGCGTTTCCTCGTAAAGTGGAAGTAAATTTACGAGGCTCTTACGAGGAAAATAATATTTT